TATTTAGGTTTTCTAAATTCCTGCTACTTCTTGAAAGTGCTTTCAGGCTGCAGGGTAGGGAGTGTGAAATGAGGTAGAACCCAATAGATTCTCTCAGTTGAGGAGACAAAGTGAGAGTCTGAGGAGTCTTTGGAAATTAGAGTTTGCAGCATAGAACACTAGAGAGGAGATATATATATATATATAAAAATATATATATATAAAATCGTGTATATATACTATATATACTATATATTATACTATACATTATTATAATATAATAATGTATTATAGTAATATATAAAATATATATATATATAAAGAGAAATTTGGATATCTGCAGAGGATATCCTTGAGTACTCAACTGAACAATACATCTGTCAAGACTCAGCATAATGTGTTCACACCAGACTGACTGGAAAAACCTCATGATTCACAAGGCATTGATTGGGTAGAGTATGCAGAAGGGTCTTGCCTCTCTAACAAGCTCTAGTAGATTATTTTGAGTAGTTTTCCCTGGCTCTTAGGGAGTTAACATATGTTAATGATACTTATCAGTTGTTAGTTTTCTGAGAAGCCAATGCTGAATGAAGTGACTGAAAATTAGCTGCTATGAATAGTCTATGTAGAACAACTAAAGGTAAGAACATTTTCAAAGAAGTTGGTAAAAATTAAGTGCAAACTAAGTACAATTTTTTAAGATGTATTAAAACGAATGGTGAAAACATTTATAGAACAGAAGAAAAGATTTAGTTAGGCAAATTTACAGCCTGTGAAAACCACATACGGCGTTTAAAGCCTACTAACTTATTATTCACCAGCAACTATTTTGTGGGAAAAAATAAGTTTATCATGCATTACTGGATCAGTATTGTCAATGGAGAAGTTCACTTGCTCTTATAGACTTAACTATCTTTGTTCTGTTTTTGTGAAAAAATAGCTGAATATCTTGACTTTACTTACTATACAATAATTAGAGGTTTATCACTGGTAAAATTTTACTGCAGTATTTTGTGTTTGAGGTTGAGATTTACTTTTTTCTTTACAAGAAGAACCAATCAACTTGAAACATGATTATCAAAAATTAAATGGCTTTGGATATTAGCTTTGCTATAGACTTGATAATGTCTTTAATGAATTTAAAATTATAAATCAAAATAGTAATCATATGCCAACCATATTTTTGGTAAAGTCATTAAGAGGACTACTAGCATTGTATGAATCACAAGTAATGTCAAGTAATGTCATTGTATGAATCACAAGTAATGTCAAACTGCTTTGTACACTTCCTGGGTCCAGAATTTAAATTAAGAAACGAGGTCACCCATTGTCCCAGTAATGATATCTGAATTCTATATAGCTGACTCAGTGGGATATTGGAATTAATAAATGATACTTTTTTGATATCTAATGGGATAATATGATTTTAGCTCTAATGAGACTTTCTGGACTTTCAGTCTGTTGTATATCAAGTGTACACTGTGGTGTTCTTGTGAACAAAAATGATACATGAATTCTGGCTGATGAAAAAGGGTAGCTAAAATATACAGAAAAAAATACCTTGTAATTTTGTGGAATCTAAAAAATGGTTTTATACCTTTAATAAAACTACATAGTACAAAGAAAATAGTTTGCTGACAGATGTAAGGTAATAAACCCTTACCTAAGGCTAAAACAGTTTCAGCTATTCAATGGGCTATTTTAGGAATCATGTCTCCCTAGAACTTTAATATCACTAGCATATTTTTCTCATAATGTTCACAAGTATCAGAGCTGCTAAAAATGGTCAGGAAAATATATTTTCAGTCATTAGTAAAGGATTCAAAATAATATTGATTATTATTAAGGAGTTATTTTATAAATATTCACCATCACAGATTTAATAAAATATAACTGGCATTATAGGCTAAAGAAACTGAGAGGGAATATGTCTTAGGTTGATCTGACATGAATTATTATTTACTGATTCATCTATAATCTAGTTTCTTTGTGAAAAAAGGTAATGGACAAATAGGATTCTTAAATAATTCTTCTTTGACAGAAAGAATATCTATGCAAGTTAGATATGACTCTATCTTTCTATGATAAAGCAAGAGTTTATGTGATTTACATCTTAGTAGACATAGCCTCATTCTTGGAATTCTTTGGTTGATTTACTTTTTAAATTCAGTGACTTTAAAATCTGCCATCAGTATTCCAACCATTTATTCTTTACATATTATTTCTTATTCAGTGAATCTGGTTTGAATTGAAAAGGAATTATTATGCTATCAATGTTTTCTAATTGCAACAAGAAAGTTTCAAGTGATTAAATGGAATTAGCAAGATGCTAATAAGGAACCAGGCTGACAAATATTCTCATTAATTTCTCTTGATAACACTACTTATTAGAACCAACTAATGAATGTTGAGTGAGTAATACTGATCTTTCAGTACTACCTTACTGGTAAGGATATTGATTTTACTGGATTCTTAAAAGACTTGAATGATAGGTAGTAAGAGAAAAACACTAGCACAGTAAAGAAACAAACAGCAAGATCTGTGGAATGGGGGTTCAAATGGAATTATCAGGATTGATATTTCTGCTTCTTGTAGTGAACTCTAGAATTCCTAAACATAGATGTTGCCATTCAGGTAATTCTACTGTGCAATGCTTACTATTTGATTATTAAGTGAAAATCTATACATCATTTTTCTCATTTATGCCAGTAAAATTGAGTTTCTTGGTGCTTTTATAAAATTTAAATAGCGTCAAATGAAATTTAGAGCCTTGTTTTCAAAATTATGAAGGCGTTTCAGGAAGAGATGAAGATGTTGCTCTCTTTCCTCTTGAGTTCTTGCTACATCATAACATTAGTTTTTCCAACCAATATGGAAGTATGTAACTATTGACAAGTGTAACCAACATGTTCAATTCTCAGGTAACAAAAATATTGGTGCAGATGTTTGTACTGAACAGAGGTCTTGAAAAGTTACAAAAATTGGTACTGTTGCCATGTGCTGTGGAAACAGCCTCCAAAAGAAAATGCAATTTTGAAGGGTTATTTTAATGGAAAGTTTGTTGCTCTGGTAACAGTACTGTAATTGATACTTCGGTATTTCTAAATAGGAAGAATACTTCTAAGATTTTTCTGCCATTCAGAGGTAGATCTCTGATGTTCCTTTTCTCCCATATGCATGATAAGAAACAAGCAACGCTGATAACTCTGTTACAGTTCTTATTTTTACAAAGAGAATGAAAACTTTTTCTTGCTTCAGTTAAAAGTGGGGGGCCTCCCCGGTGGCGAAGCGGTTAAGTGCTGGGTTGCGAAGCTGCCCGCAGCCTCTGCAGCGCTGGTTTGATCCTCCGGCCTGGAGGGTCCCACATGGTGCGCAGACCTCCCCTGCTGCCCGCTGCTCCCTTCTGCAGTGTACTTCGTCAGTCTGCCTGCTCTGCTCTCTGCTCTGACTCTGGTGAATTCTCTCACCCTCCCGTGCTTCTGACTGTACCCAGTGCTTGTACAAATAAATAAAATAAATCTTAAAAAAAAATTAAAAGTGGGAATTGTTATTTTGCATGCCTTTTCTCAATCAGAGTTTAAATCTCATGTATGATATAAAGGTTAATCTTATCCAAATAATTTAAATGAATGAATTACTCTTTATTCCATATTACCTTATTCCTTTTGATTTTTAAACATTTTTAAAGACTTATTTTCTTTATTTATTCATACAAAAGCTGGGATGTAGGCCAGAGGTGTGGGGTGGGTGTGAGAGGATTCACCAGAGACAGAGGGAGAAGCAGATCAGGAGGGTCAACTGAAACACTGCTGAGGGGAGCAGCAGGCAAGATAGGAGAGGTCTGCTACACCATGTGGGTTAGCTCCCTGGCCTGGGATTGAATGCATGCTGCAGTAACTGCTGATAGTTTTATAGTGCTGAGACTTAACCCCTTGCGCCACCAGGGAGGCCCACCCCCATGCTTATTTAAGAATGACTTTGATATACATTATGTTGGCCATCTTGTCATTGATTTTGAACATAATGTATAAATATTTTGTTTATACATTACTTGATCTGTTTAACTTGATCAACTAGCTAGCATAACAACTAGCACTTAATCATTTCCAGATATACACATGAATCTAACTTGTGAGACATGTTAAATAAGACTTATTTTCTGGGGAAGGAAAATTTTTCATAATTTAAAAGATCTAAATTTCAAGTGTGTATTTTCATTTTGTTAATTTTTTCCTTTCTTACTATTTAATTCAGATTTTTTTTTCTAACTCAGTTTTTGGTATCATCTTTAGGCTTCTGGTTATCCTATTATATGTGGAAATCTTTCTTTTTGGTTAAACAGACCCAGAAATGAAAGGTTTACTTTTATCTTTCATCGAGTGTTCTCTGTGAGCTATGAGACTTCCCTGGTCTTCTTATGTATATGGGTCATCTCAAGATAATTCACATATATAAATACAGACAGATATATCTGTGTACACATGCACACCACATACATACACCATTTAAAATAAGCAATATACATACTCCTTGAATTTGTGCTATGTCTGTGGCTAGTATTGTTGTCAAGGCTCCTGTGCTGTTTTCTTTATCATCAAACCAGGAAATGTCCTAGGTAACAAACAAATTAACATATGGTTATCAAAAAGACACTTCTTTGACTTGTGATTTTGCTGTTGTAAAACAGAAGGCATTTGCTTGTATTGTCACTCACAGATACTTAACTCTTCTAAATACTATGGATCAAATGACCTTTGTTCCTTATTTTACAAATATCTATACTTAGATGTAAACTGAAGAATGTAAACCTAAAACCTTGGACTCATTATTGTGTTACAAATTCTATAATAATATTAAAAATGGTCATTTTGAACCACTAAGTTGTAAATTTGTGAAAAGCTGACTGTATTTAAAAAGTAAGGTAACTTACAACACAATCTAGAAATATTTTCAAATCTTTCTAACTAAACTGAGTAATGATAAGAAGTCTATCTTCTCCTTTCATGTTCAGGTTAGGCCGAATGGCTCCTGCAAAGAATGGTGATAAGATGGGCCATTCTGCCATCAACAAGGTAGTTACCAGAAAATACACCATCAGCATTCACAAGCACATCCATGGAGTGGGCTTTGAGAAGTTCGCCCCTCAAGCACTCAAAGAGATCTCGAAATTTGCAATGAAGGAAATGGGCACTCCAGATGTGCACAATGACACCAGGCTCAACAAAGCTCTCTGGGTCAAAGGAATAAGGAAATACAATGATGAAGATGAAGAGTCACCAAACAAGCTATATGCACAAGTTATCTTGTACCTGTCACAACTTTCAAAAATCTAGAAACTCTCAATGTTGGTGAGAACTAACCACTGATTATCAAATAAAGTTATAAAACTAAAACAAAAGAAAACAAAAATGTCTATCTTCTCTTTAGGGTCCTGATAGGCAAGTCTTTTCCTGACACTTTATATTAACTGCTAGATCGTACAAGAATTGGACATTGTGAGAAGCTGAAGGGGGAGGAAGAAAGGTAAAACCACTGCAGACAAGAAGCACACAATCTAAAGAAATAGGTAAGAAATATAAACAATAAAAGGATAATGTAATAACTAATTTAATTTTCAATAGCAAATACAGACAGTACTTGTAGCATTTCTTAACCTAAGGAATTTGGATTTCCTTTTATTAGCTATTGAATATTTCTTCTTACTCATTTAAACCACTTATATCTCTTGTGGATTAAAACTATGTGGAGAATGTGTCTCAAAGATAGCTTAAAAAATATTTATTTGGACTCACAACATGACAGAACAGAGAGGTGGGGATCAACTCTTTTTCCGAAAGAAAAAAAAAATGCTGAAAGGAAGATTCAGAAGTTCCTGTTACGAAAACGACCTAAATGTCTAGTGTCAGATGAATGGATAAAGCAGATGCAGTGTATATACACAATGGAATAATACTCAGTTATAAGAAAGATGAAATGTTGCCATTTATGACAACTTAGGTGGAACTGAAGGGGATAATGCTATGTGGAATAAGTCAGAAGGACAAAGACAGACAATGGATGCTTTCACTTATATGTGAACTATAGAAAAACAAAGCAATGAAACAGACAAAAGTAAACCAAATCAATCTTAGAAATCTGACTATACAACTGAAGCTGCCAGAGGGGGAGGGCAGAACTAGGAGGGAATGTAGTGGACTATGGCTGAAGATTATGAGTGTATTAATGGTAGGTGTGGTGTGGCAACATACATCAGAAGAGGTGTGACCCTGTATCTCTAAATCGTGTGCAGCAATAAATTGTTTCCTCAATAAAAATAAAATACATTTTTATGTTTGAAACACAATGAACAGTATTTTTTATTACCATCGGAATCAGCACCAATAAAAACATTCTTTTAAAGGACTTCGTGTAATCAAAGAAAATATAGATTTTATACATTTACCGTACCTGTCTATAAACACCTCTGTCTCATATGAGATTTAAAAATGGTTACAAACAGCATTGCAAGTCTGAGCATGCTTTCTGCACTTTAAAAAAGCCTTATCTTAGGATTAAAACCAGGTAGTAAGAGTATGGTAAAACTGTTTATCAGGAGCTTTTCTTATTATAGACAAAAGTGAAGTTGGAAATATATTTATAAAGAAAAGCCAGATGCTCTACTCCTTTCCTTTTATTTAAAAAAAAAAAAAACAAAGATAGGCAAAAACAAAAACAAAAAACAAAAATCTGCAGAATTAACAGGGAAAACAAAAGGTGAGCTAAAAAAGGTTCAGTTGAATTTATGGGGAATGTAAGAATGCCTTAGGAATACCATAGGGTTTCTGGGCAAGTCCTTGTATGTGAGTGTTTTTTGAAGGATCAGAGTTTATGGCTCCATTTCTAGATTGGTCCATTCTTATCAGCAGAAGCTACTTGGTATGAGAATGTTATTGTCGTGGTGTTTACAGGGGTAATGCTAGCAGAGGACTAACATCCAGTATTAGCCATTAGGATATTTGGTTAACAACAATTTCACTGGTTAAATTGGCTCAGGGCTTTGAGCCAAAAGTTTCCTGTGAACAGAGAGGAAGTTCAAAGTAATATTTTGAATAGTTAAAATTTAGTTTTTTGTTTAAAGCAATCAGACATGCAGGGAACATTTTTCAATAACTCCTGGAAATTATTAATTTCCTTGTATATGGAAAAACATAAATTCAACAGAAAACCCCAAAATAAGCAGAACTTGTCAACCACTGTGAAATGCAGAATTAATTAATTAAAATTCCACATTATTTCATCAAATAGTTGAGGTAAAGACATAAGGTGTTCATAAAAAACAAAAACAAAATTATATTACAAGTTCAAGATGAGTGAGATGTGCAAGTGTTTAATCACTTTATGATCCTTCAAGTAGATTTTTGTTTTTCTGGATTAAAGAATGTTTCCAATTGTGGAGCACAGATCAGAGATAGGACCTTTATGAGCAGAGGGTATCAGGCACCAAATGCTTCAGAGCATCAAGTTGCTTTGGGAAACCTCTCAGTTGCTTTACTCTTTGCAGAATTTTATATCTTGTTGTTCTCAAAGAGCACAAAGGCCCAGGCGTTTTGTTACCTGGTGCTCCTCTGAGTACTACTCCTAAAAGTTACAAGATTTAAAAACTGGTTTTGACAATTTGAGTGGAGTGACAACTCAATTTCTGCAAAGAAATGACCCTAGCAGGAAGCTATTTGCTTCTGCATGGTGCATTCTCGGAGAGAAAGTGAGGCAAAGGGCTCCAAATGATTACTGGCTTTCAGAGTAACCCAATACACCTCGGCCTCCTGAAGGAATTTTAGAGGTGCCAATCTTAGACATTTCTGTCAATTGCTTCCAAGACTCACTTCTCAAGATCACTACTTGATCTACCTATTTTTAGTTATTTCACAGGTGTCATTGATCAAGTGTGTGACAGGCCGAACCTGCCAGTTAGAATGATGTTATCTGAATTCAGGGCTCTTCTGATGAGGGTGGAGAGATTGGCTGCTTTCAGAAGTCTAGAATGAAGTAACAGTAAGCTGTTTATATGGATGAGAATTAGATAAATGAATTCCTCCTTTAAAAATGTTTCTCAAGAAAAATACAGGATGATTTCACTCATAAGTGAGGAAGAAAAAGCAAAGGAACTGATAAAAACAAAAGAAACCCATGAAATTCGACTGTAGAATTGAGGCTACCTAAGGAAAGGGTAGGGAACAAAAGGGGAAGGGTCTGATGGAGGATTACTGGGGCTTTGATGGTAGGCGTGATCTGATAGCATATAGTTATAGAGGTGTGATTCTATAACCCCTAAACATTATTATAGTATTGTAAATCAAAGTTACCTCAATAAACATAATTAAAAATAACGTCTGTTTCCCAAGTTATTACAGGTGTTAGCTCTCCCTTTTAGTTTGAATTTGGTTTTTCATTCTGATGGTAGAAATTACACATTAAAAGAAATATTTGTTAAAATAGATGTAAGAAGCAAGGAGTGGACTCTTCATCCTTGTTTTCTATAAGCTGTATTTTAAATAATTTTGAACTTTTTTGATTGGAAATACACATTATGTTTTGACATCAGATTTCTTGCTGCTTGGAACACAAAAAACATGCTCTTAAAATGATTAAAGGAAATATTATGTCAAGAGATTTCTTGAAAAACTAAAAATGTTCCAACATTTAAAAACATGTTTTAAATAAAATAAGAAAAAAAATCAACTAAATACTCACTTGATATAACATGGCTTTAAATGCCAAGTGTCTTAATCTCATGGTTAAAATTTCCCCTGCTCTGCCATAAAACAATCCCTGGAAAACAAATTCTACATTAATTCTTAATCTCTTTATTTCTTTGTAATATTTAGTTCTTTGTAATATTTAGTTGCTATATTTAGTTACTTACATTTCATTTAGTTATTATATTTAGTTATTGTTTTTAACTTAAAATAGCAAGTATGGCATAAAAATTATTTGTTCTTTTTTTATTTACTCATTACAAGCTTACCTGAATGAAATAACTGACAAAGCAAATAACGCCCAAAATTACAAATATCATGGAATAAATTTGTGCATCATGCTTTAATGTGTTTTTATCATCATTTTCAAACATCTGAAAAGGAACATAATTTTTTATCAGGCGATGGAGGAAAATGTAAAAGAAAGAGAAAAAAACTAAAATGTCTATTAGGATTTTTTGAATGGATTTCAACACAAGATTATATATACACTTACAGGGAAAAAAGTATGACATTATTTTATCCTCTACATTCATTACATTTGATTAAATTTTTAAAAAATTCTTTTACTTAAGTTATATAAGTATGTGATCAGCCAAAAGTGTTCTTTACCTGCTGTCATTATCACAGTATATTTTCAAAGAAACCACCAGCTTGCCTGAATCATTTCTAGTAACTTTAATAACTCAGGTTTTTTAATATCCCCCTATTTTTAGAACAGTATCTGAAACGAGATCTTTATATACATCCCTGGAAATCATTCCAAAAGTTAGTAATTATAATATACAGAACTACAAATTACAATATATGTAACATAACTATACATACACATACACATCTATGTTAACAAAGTGTAGCTGTGCAAATCTGGGAGACTGAAGAATTAAATGGCTCTACGAAGACCACTGAATTCATTAACTTTCTTGGTCCTTCGACACAATTCCAAACTCTTGTTTCCTCTCTATGAGCTTGCTAGTAATAAAAAATGCCATTGTTCGGACTAGTTGAAAGGAAAGTAGTTGTGTTTGTGTAACTTATTGCTTCAGTGCTTTGGAATGCTGATACAGCACTGGAGTCAAAATTAGAAAACAAAGTAATTTCTTTACTGATTGTCTAGTCAACAAGACCTAGCCAAACACTTCACAATAGAGCCTGGTTTATCCCCTGAGATCATTAGTTAACCTTTCTATCAATGGGTTCTACACTAAGGATGACACCAATCCTGGGTTTTCCCCTTGCTGGATCAGAGTAATCTGTTCTCCCAGGGTACATATTCTTTAAAATTGTTAAAAATGTGAGCAAATTAGTTTTACTTACAGTTACAATTTTTGCAAAGATGATAGAAAATATCGGATGAACAGCTCCATTTAGAAGAGATGCCACTGTCCCAAGAACCACAGATGGCCATTCAGGCTTATTTAATTGAAAGATTTTTAATAGAGAAACTTCAGGAAGACTTTTCTATAAATAAAATTCCTTGGTTAAAACCCCATTTTGATAGCATAATAGAACCTAGAGAAGTTAGCCAATTTTAAGGAGCAGACCTAAAATGTAAACATAATAAGCTGCAGGGTAGAAAGAAGAAATTTTCTTACAAAAATTTCCTGCTCATATTACTA